TACCCACATCCTTGAAAAATAGGAATAAATAAAGATAATTGTTGCAATAATCTATGAGTGAATGAAATGTCTCAAGAAAAGAATGTATAGTAAAAATAAGAGAATGAAATATTTAACTAGGGATTGAGAAGCACAAAGGTCCAAACATGCAAGGATGGTAACATGATTGTTATCTTAAATTGGTCAAGTTTTCCAAAGAGATCACACCTTAACTTAGAAGTATTAAATTTAAATTCTGATGATGTTAAGATAGATAAATGATTCATTTTGTCAATTTATTTTTCAGCTGTTTCAAGGATCTTCATAATTCCTCATCAAGTCTCTGCTCTGCTTCTCTATTCTATAGTTAATGAATATTCCCTTGCTACTGGCTCATCTTAGTCTTTGTAGCTTTTTGCTTTTGCTTAGATAAATAGTTTTCTTTGTTTACAAAAATAAGATTCCGCAAGAACTTTTAATTTTTTTATTTTAGAAATAAAATTTTTTAATATAAGTAAAATTCTACTTGTGAAAAAATCTTATTTAGTCATTGTGTAGATTATTGTTAGAGATCAAACACTTAAACAGTTAAAGATTTGATAAATTCTAAAAATAAAAAAACAAAAATTTTAGTTACAGGATTTTAGACCGTTTTATTCTCTTTTCGGGTTTTTTTTTGTTCCATCACAAGTTTTTTGGATTTAATTAGGTTTTGATTACTATATGTAGAGTAAGGTATGTAACTATTATATTTATGAGTGTTCAAAATTGATTTCAAAATTACATGAAAAAAATAAATATTGATCTTATAGGATTGGACTATTTTTCTAATTAAATGCTAACTTATTTTTCTATTGTATTATATTTTTTAATTTTTTTCATATTTGAGCATGAGGTGAAATCTCAACAATATCTACTAAATTCATCACGTAGAAAACTGAAGTTTGGGATTTCCTACCTAAAACCTAATAAGTTTAACCCTTTCTTGTTGAGGAGGTAGCCATTGCAACATAACATTTATCATTGATCGTCTTTTGTAAGCTGAATTTGCTCTTCCCCTCCCACTCCTATTGTTTATTATTTTTCTTGTTAAACTTTTGCATTAGGAAGAAGCTCTTCTTAAGTGATTTATGTCAATTTCACATATTTTAATATATTTTATTAAAATATATTACAATATTTATGAATAATTATTTTAACATATTTTATTTTCTTAACTTTAACTTTTCTAAATTTTAGAATTATCATTATTTTTGATATAATGTAATAAAGAAAGAGGTAAAGTTTGAGAAAAGAGCAGTCTAAAATTATAAAAATAAAAGGAATAATATTGTGCTTTTCACGCAAAGGCATAATTTATTATCTGTTTTTATAAAAATAAAAAAATTAATATATTCAAAAAATTTTAAAATTATAAGTTTTTATTTTTTTATTAAATTTTTATATTTTTATTTTAAATTAAATAAATATTTATAATTAATGATTTTAATTAGATATTATTTATAATTTTTTATATCACGTGATATTAATATGACATTTATTAAAAAATAAAAATTATTATATGATCATTTAATTATATACGATGTTAATATATCATATTATTATTTATTATTGTAATATGTTAATTTTATATAATATAAAAATTAAATATTAATTAAATAAAATTTATTATTTTTTAATATTTTAGACAAGAAGTGGTTGAGAAGGTGCAGCACCATGAATTGCCAGGAAAGAAAGACAACTTCAAGGCCAAGTAGTGGAAGTAATTATTAAATTGAAAAGGAGGACCAAGTCAAAATTATATTTACTTTATTGAAAAACATACAGGGACATGGTTCAAGTGAAAAACACAGATAGCTTCAAGGGTAAGTTGTATAAATAAAGTACTTCAACTCTAGAGCTTCCACTCTACCTTCTCCAGCATAGCAGTGTTTATCAGCAGATCATCTGATAATGGAAGGTATTCATAAATAGCTTCACCTTTTACTCTTTAATTCTTCTCCTCCATGTTTCCTTCTTTTTGTTTTTGAGTGCAGTGGATAGTAGTGAGTCTCAGTCAATGAGGAGTCAACAAGTGAGGAAGTTCACATGGAGGATTGAGAATTTCTCCTGTATTCAATGCAACAAGCTCTACTCTGACGTTTTCCATGTTGGTCGCAACAAATGGTAATTTTGATGTTCTTGTAAGGATTGGGTTGCTTTCCTAATGTTTCAACTTGCATTTTTCTATCACTGAGGTCTGCAATTCTGTTCGGCAGGCGACTTCTTTTCTTCCCCAAGGGGAA